TTTTTTTTTTTTTTAATAACAGAACGACTAAGTTATACATGTACACAGTAGCATCATAAGTTGAATTTTTTTTTTGTCATAATAATTGAATGCAAATTGTTTTATTCAATAAAATTTGTTAAACAATTTCAATTGTAATTTGAACCTCAATGCTAAATAATAAGTGTTACTGTCAGTATCAACCTCTTAACATTCTACTGAAATAATTTTGATCAAATTCGAAATAACTAAGTGTTCATCAGTTCCATCCGATAAATATTTATCAAATTGACCTATAGATTCGCCAATTCTAGCCTTTTGCGCTTCATTAAATTGATAGTCAGCCAAAATTCGATCTTGAATCTATAAATGTAAGATATTAACAAGATCTTAAATAATTAACCTATTTGTAAATTTTGTGAATGCATGCAATGAAAAGTTATAATACCTGAGATAATATTTGAATAGCTGAAAATCCGGAATCAATGGCTTTTGCAACTTCCTCTTCAAGTTGTATTTCGTTTTTTTTACTTTTTGCACTTTCAATCAGATCATTAATTACGTCGTCCGGAACAACCTACATATCATTGGTAAAGTAATTTTTTTTAGTATTGGTGGTTGTTTACGAATAAATTAATACAAATATGTACCCCCGCAATTTCTCGTATTGATTCTGCTGTAATCATTTCCTTCTTGTGAAGTTTAGCCGCACTTTGAAGATGCATTATAGCCTTTCTTAGGTCACCTTCAGATAACGTTGCTAATTCTTCCAATGTCTCAAAATATGTTGAAATTGGAATATTGCGTGAAATTTTGACCAGGAATAATCGTATTTAGACTATATTTTAACAATGAAATTATACCTGTGAACTATAATTGACAGCTTCTTGTTCACAAATCATCTTGAGTCTTGATATTGTGCTTGAAGTGTCTAAAGGTTTGAATCTGAATTTTGCACAACGAGAAGCTAGAGGTTCAATGATGCTATTTAAAATTTTATAAAAGAAATATATAGATTTATATATGAATTCAAAAGTAAAAAGTGTAAGTATAAAAGTGAGTGCTTTACCGTGTCACGTAATTACAAATGAGACAAAAACGCGTAACTTTGGAATAAGTTTCTATTACGCGCCGCAAAGCTGACTGTGCATCTTGCGTCAACAAATCAGCTTCATCTAGAATTACAATTTTGTAAGGTGGACACGGATAATCACCAGCTTCTCTAATTTATTTAATTAGAATTAATATAAATGATGACGAGTTTATATTTTATTCAGAGCTTGAAAAATCTTACTTGGTACGATTACTAACTGCTGTACGTGCAAAATTTTTCACTTTGTCCCTAATAACTTGTATCCCACGTTCATCTGAAGCATTCAATTCCAAGACTCGAGATTTCATCAACTTTGGCCTAAATGAAAACATTAAGAAGAGATATAATAAACGTTAGTTTAATCATCTATAACGCGAATATACTCGATACGATTCTATATCCATAAAGTTCTCATACCCATAAAGCTCTCGAGATAATGCCAAAATTGTGGAGGTCTTGCCGGTTCCTGGAGGTCCGTAAAATAACATATGAGGCAGCTATGAAAGGTAACTGGTTATTAAAAAGCAATCAAAACTCGCAAAAAAATTTATTCATATCACGTTTTTTACGTTTTGTGATTCAATAGTCTTTTTAAGTACTGCCACAGTTTGCTCTTGGGCACTAATATTATCTATAGATTTTGGTCGACTTTTTTAATAAAAGAAACCCTGTCAATATATACTATCCAATCTTTGAATTTTCTTAAAATTGCAGATATTTCTACAAACTTACTATTTCTCGATCCATGGTTGAGGAATTTCTTCGTGAACATTTGCAGGCTTAGAAGATTTAGCTTGAAAAAAAGTATTCATTTTTGCCAAAGTATATATGACTTTGTCGCGTCTTTTAACAATGAATCAGTGCTTAGGCAGGGGATGGCCCCAAATTTTAGGGTTGGCCTGCATTTTTAATCTATTTAACGTTTAGTGTTAACGTTAACGCTAACG